GCGTTCTTGCAAAATAGTTGATTTCCATAGGCCTTTGTCCTCAATTCGCTAGTTTCTCTGTATTTCATGTCCTTCAAAAGAGCTTATTTTAAAACATCATTACTAACAAATTCAAGGCCAAAGTAAGATGTTCAGGAAAAAAGTGTTAAAAAACAAACCGTCCTGCGAGGTCTTTGCTTCTTTTTTTTGTACGAGGTTAAGAAACTATCCTGGGCACGTAAAACAAGCCAACTGCCCAAAAATCCAGAGCTGACGTGATTTAGGTAGAACTTTTGTAGTTTCGAAAGAGCATTGCATTAAATAACATACTCAAACCCAAATGGTCAGGAAAAAACCTTAACAAAGTATCAAGTGACAAAGGTATAGTTAGTAGGTCAATTTGTGCATAGTTTGATTTCTAATGACCATCGTGATGAGGTTTTCTTGATTGAGAGCAGAACCGTGGTGGCCATTACTGCATTGTAGGGTGGTGGCCGTGTTGAAGAGAAGGAAGCATAAAATGGAATTTAAGGACTGTCAGTCGGAACAAAAAGGATTGGCCTTTGTAGAAAATGAATGAGACGCTACGTAGGTGGCTATTAGTAAAGGTTTAACTGACTGTGAGTTCTAAATTGGAAGAAAAATTACCATATTTGAGAACAAGTAGCGCAGATCAACGATTCGCAATTGCTTCTCAAGTAGCTCCTTCTGTGAAGAGACGCTGATGTGAATGCACGCTTCACCCAGTACACTTCCTTCTTCAGTTACAAATTTTATCGCTCGTTTTTTTAAATTTGTTGGCACACTTTCCGGTTGGAACCTAATATGCTGACCTTAGTGAAAACAAAACAGCATTAGTAAGGAGTTTATATTGCTGGATCTAGATAAAAATACGTATCTAATGTTACACGCTAAATATAAAGATAAGCTGAATAGTAGTACTGAATACTATACTTTATAAAGGGTGATTACATGACATAGGACAGAACACTTCTTTTTGTCTTAGCAAAACAACTGAATTTTAACACAAACTGATCACAACATGGTTTTGTCCATTGCAGTCTTTATAATGATCGTGTTTTACAAAACAGCCGCCGTCTGAACAGATCAAATTAATGGAGTCAGTAGGGCAATTTATGAGAAAAAGTCAACACGTGTCTTACATAATACACATCTTACGTAAAAATTAAGTGAACGTTGCGTTTTAAATTTTACTGTTCCTTTGAAATAAGGAACGAGTAGGCTAAGATATGAGACCGTAAGACCCATTGACTGTCAAAGTATTTAGCCCGTGTGGACTTATTGGGGACGCAAATTATCTAAAAGTGTCCTTGATAAGACACGTGTTAGCAAAAAAGAAGGAATTAAAACCTCTATAAATGTCCTCCGCATCTCAGAACGAAGCGAAAGCATAATACCTGGGCGTCATATCAACTTGCGCCATGTGCGTTGGATTGCCGTTGTTATGGCAACTTCTACACAAAAACGATTAAAATAAATGACACAGTTTGTGCTGTTTTCTACAGGACACGTCTCGTATAAGATACCTCATGTTTTTTTTTTTTCCAAGTATAAATGAACCTAGATGTATACTGTGGGTAGCACATNAAAAACGATTAAAATAAATGACACAGTTTGTGCTGTTTTCTACAGGACACCTCTCGTATAAGATACCTCATGTTTTTTTTTTTTCCAAGTATAAATGAACCTAGATGTATACTGTGGGTAGCACATACATTTTTCCCCTTTTTATAATTATTTTACTTTATTTCAATTTTTTGCTTTTTCCGGCCCTCTTTTCTGTTATTATTACAGTAGAGTTTCTTTTGCTTTTAACCGGTGCTAGCTCTACCACGGAAAAAGTTCCCCGGTCGACTTCTTTGATCAAAGCGACAAATAAACCAAGACCGATCGGACGGTTGGTGTTTACTGCACTATGAGCTATTTTATTCAGAGTTACTCACAATGACACGACATAATTGTGGCACGTAAAATGAAGACGCCACTGTTTTATCACTCGTGCAATTTATGGTAAAATTAACGAAGAAGTCTAGGGCAAACAGTGTTTGGCAAAGGCAGCAAAAAATAAAGTTGTAAAGAGGTTAATTCACTCGATTCACGTTAATTCAGAGGGTAATGTCGGTAGGGTTAAAAAAGGTATTTTCATAGCCTATTGCGTTAAAGCACTGTCTCCAAGCAAATTCTAAACAACTGTTTCAGATTGAATAAGTAGGAGTTACGGTGTATTAATAAATTATATATTCTTACGTGCAAAAGATCTGCAATAAATTTATCAGCTAAGAGAATAAATGCAGGGCTATTCCAATATATAAAAACAGTTGTGATCACATGTAAGGTATAAATCCAGTACAACAAAGACGATGGGGTGTATAAGGCTTAGTTATTCGATTTGTCATGTAAAAGGGTTGATACACTGATTGAAAGAAGAGCATACGAGTCAATGAGGTTCTCAAAGTCTAAACAACTGTTACAAATTGATAAGTAGGAGTTATGAGTAAAT